TATCATGAGTTGCACGTCGTGAATAAGTGGACTCTCATATCGAACGTACCCAAATCCACCATCTTGAAGCGGTTGCGGTCGTACGCTATCAACTCAGGCGGGGACTCCACCACCACAGCCTCTGAATACCATAAAATCTTCCTCGCCAAAACCGGGGTTGCAACAACAAAAAATCAAAACACCACGATGATTGTGGTATCTGGTCAAAGTGTTGTCTCATTCATGTCGTAACAAATAGTGAGTGTTATTCTTAAAACCACATAATAGCACAGACGGTTTAACTCCAGCGATGTCATGGTTACACGGTTGCTGTAGTTTTGTTACTTAGGGGAGAAGACTGTGAAAAGTTAATGACTTCCTGTTGGAGAGGTTACATGGAGCACGATAGCCTCATTTACAGTGAAATAAAAAGCCAGAAATTATGAGAAATCATATCTGGAAATCGAACGACAGAATCCTGTGGCAAATTTACTACATAACTGCGGCGACAGTGGGAAACAGCTGTCTCTTACTATGTTTTCTATGAAACACTGAAGTTTAATATGTTGCTGTTAGGTCGATTGACCTAAATGTCTTTGAACGGGACAGTTCGAGGCTTTCAGTGAAAACCCCTGCGTAAATGCTGTCTGTGTTTAGATTCATTAACTGTGATCAAGAGGCTTTAATGAAAAATCTCCTGTCTCAGATTATGTGTCGATAGTTTGCCAAACAGCACCATCACGTAGATTTAATTTAGATGTGGTGTGACAGGTTGGGTTCGGTTGTTGCGTCATTATTTAAGGTGTTGACAGCTTCTCAACATGTAGTTTTCCACTGGATGTGAAAAAAGTGAGGACTAATGTAAAATGAAGTCAAGCAGTTATAGTAAGTTCATTGTGTATTTCACTGGCAGATGCATTAACGCAGGAATCAGGCAGTTGCTGGGTTGTAATGGAAATGGAAAGCTATATTGATTGTCCAATGACTGCAGTCTCTTGCTGTCATAGGCCAGTCGAGAGAGTGGGCAGTGTGTGTGTGAGTGTGTGTGTGTGTGAGTGTGTGTGTGTGTGTGTGTGTGTGTGTGTGTGTGTGTGTGTGTGTGTGTGTGTCTGAAGCACTTCTGTAAGGCACCCATGCGTGAGGGCACACCCCTCACTGCAGTATCATAATTCAGACAAAAACTCATCTGTAGTTTTTTTAAGGGTGTGCACTGCGGAATTAAGATTCAACTATTTGATTAAATGAATACACTTGATAATGTTCCAGTGACACAAGCAGTTTGCTGTGACGTATTTCTCACTGTTTTTAACTAGACTGAAAGCTGCAAGTTTATTTATTTGTCAGTTAAGCTTCACCGATTTTAAAAAGTTAATCAGCAGCTATTTCCATAATCAATAATCAAATCATAATCAAACTGAGGACAAGCTCTTAGAGGCATAGACAACAGTGAATGTATTTTAATTTATGAATTAGAAATCAATCTGATATCAAATGTTGTAATTGTATAGTTTATTAATTGATAAATGGAATAATCATCACTTCACAATTGTGTCATCACTATACAATTCTGCTGAGCATTGTCATTCCTGTTAGTTTGTGCGTTTTAAGCTGCTGACTTTGATGATATCTGAAGTGTTTCTCATCTACGTCAGGCTAAAAATAATATTCTACACATCAAGTTTCCATGAGAGAGGTGAAGGTATCAGCATGCACTCCCTGTTCTCTCCTCCCTGTGAACGTCTGAGCTAATGAGCGACAGTTTTAGGGCAGTGTGCTCCGTGTGCTCTCTGCAGTGATGACCTATGCTGGTGCTATGTTTCCAGCACTGATGACTGTGTGTTGTAATGTGCTGCTTCAGGGTGTGGTTGCCTGGGCCCTGTTTCACACCACTCCATCACCGACACACACACAGACGCAGGAACACGTGTATTATGAGCTCAGCAGATATGAAGCTCGTTTCACTTGAGCTACAGACAAAACTGTATTATGCTTGTTGCTTTTTTTCTCTGACATGTGAAGGAGGGGCTGCAGTTCATTGCAGTGATGAAATAATGGGTCCGCAGCCAAGAAATCTCCTCACACATGTGCTTAAGGGAGAATAGAGAAGTCTGTCTTCTCAGTAGGAATCCATTTTATTGTTTTTCACAATAACTAGTTGGTCTTAAATTACGTTGCATGGTCGTTCATAGCAAACTGTTGTTGACAAGCTAACTGATTATTTTCACAATAGATTCATTGTGTTGTAATCTCATATTAGAGTGGCAGCAGTTACAGTCAATCAGATTAAATTTAACCAGCAGATCTTGTTGATCAGATAATCATCATTTCCTAAACAAAGACACCGAACATCTTCTGCTTTTCTCTACGTCACAGTGTACGAAATTACAACGAGCACCTACAGACATATATATACATATTTAATAATAATTAGAGTAGATCTAGAAAATAATGATCGTGATGATTGATTGCTAATGAAAATAATAATTAATTGACTTCCTTCAGTAAAGACCTGGCATAGTAAAACTAAGAATTCAGTCTTCCAATTTAAGCTGATATGAACATCAGTTATATTCTTCTGCTTGATAAATGACTGAACTTATATAGAAAATGGCTGCGTAATTAAATTTGTGGGGAAAAGAGTGAACTCCCAACGGATCAGAGCAGCAACAAGGATCCCGCTGGGAGAACTAATCCACATGTGATTAACACATACATGAAAACGACTGTACAGTGAGGGGGGGTGGTGTAAGGAGCAGAAGCAACGTGTGGTACGTTCATGATTGTATCAGACATGTCAGATTGTAATGGCTGCACCATAAACCTGCATATTACTGGGACTACAAGTAGCAGTTCTATTAAATAAGTAGTTGTCATGTCATGAATTGGTGGACATGTCTTCAGTTAGCTCATAAAACCCAAATAAAATCAGTCTACACTCAAATAAGACGAAATAAAAACACAAAATATTCTATTGTGATTAAAATACCCGAATTATAATTTCTGACCATTGGATTAATTGAGAAATCCTTTCAGCCCTGATAAGGTGTAAACTGTTAACTCACAGACGACTCAACCTACCCGCTGCACAAGCACCCATGTACAAACCATCATCCCCCCTCCGCCCATGTTGTCCTCCGCCCTGTTCAGCCAGTTGAAACCTCGAGCAGCCGTCCAGTAAGTCAGCAAAACCAGACCTGGTCTCCCTTCCTCTCTCTCTCTCTGCAGTCGCCATGACAACAGAGTGAGTCCACGGCACAGCAGCAGCAGCAGCAGATTTGGTGTCTGACTGTGATGTCATGGCAACGCCCAGATCACACCACACTACGAAATTTAGGGTTTTCAGACATGACTGTACTCTAGTTACATTGTGTGTGTGTGTGTGTGTGTGTGTGTGTGTGTGTGTGTGTGTGTGTGTGTGTGTGCATCTCATTCAGGGATTTTTAATTTCTAATGCAGATTTTTATAATATCCTGCTTCATAGAGTGATCAATAATCCATAGTGGCAAATGTCCCCAGGATGAATAGATTTTACTGAGAAAATAACATCCACAGATTCTGTTGCACAACGAAAATCTGGAAAACAAAATCTGGATAAAGGTTGTTTGGATGTTAATCTGTGATCAGTCATAAAAATCAGCTTCAGTTGTGTGTCCTGCATCATCAGCTTCACATACGTTATCACCATGAGTGGTCCAGGTCATTAACAGTCTCCCTATGAATATCAGCTCCTGCTATAAAGATGGAATATAGTGATTTATTATAACTTAATGCTTCTTGTTTTCTGTGGCTCCAGTGAGAGATTTAATCTGTTGTATCTGAGCGGAAAATAATCCCCAACATATTATGGAATAATGCTTTTTATCTGGATCACCATAGAGACATGAGTTGTTTATGTAAAGCATGCCTTCATGTGATCAGACTGGAACATAATAATCAGTATTTTTCACCACTTATTATCATTTGAAGGTAGCTGCCACGATGCCGGCCGCAACGATGACGATGAAAACAAGCATCGTTTTGAGCCCCAGTGATCTAACTCATTGCATCTTTTATTATTTATTGTATCGTGTCTGATTTTAATGAGCACACTGAAAATACACACAGAGAAAACAAGTAACAGAGTCGCCTTGATGCAAGAAGCACTTCAGTGTCTTTATCTGAATTCTTGTTCAGGACGCACAAACAGGACCAGACTGACATTTCAAAGGAACTGCAATGAAAGTCAAGTCTAATTTAAAATGGCCCCACTATGCCACAACAATCATATCAGTAATAAAAATCTGAACTAGAAAAGTCTACACAGAGATGGTTCTCTATGTGATTAAGAAGCAGCAAACCCATGACACTGCACATTTTCTTTATGGAACTATTAAGGCTGTGCGAGATTTATATTATTTGTTTGGCTGACTTGATCGATATTATACCCACCAATATATATGTTGAAAATTGGCAGAAAGATGTCCTTATCAAACCTTTATGACAAATGCACATCTTTTCTGCATTTTTTATTCCGAAAAATATAATTTTCAAATCTGCAATATGTCTCATTTTTATCGGCCCTCCAATAAATCGATCAGGCACAACAGTGGGAATGGGTGTGAAGAAAACATGGATGCAAACATGGGTTTCTTGCAGCTGGAATCAATCCACTTGGCCACACGAGACCACAGGGAGAGACGGGCGCTACTCTGTGTGGTCCTGTCCACAGCTCAACTGTGTGTGGTGTGTCTACATGCGACAAGGGCGACAAACATGCCCTGTCTCTTCCCAGCTATGGATGATTGAATGAATGAAACATTGTCCATCTCCTGTGTGTGGAAAAGAAAGGATAATGTCTAACTACAGAGAAATAGTGAAGCATTGTTCAAATCCAAATATAGAACTGGAACGATCTGGCAGATATTCCTCCTGGGAGACGATGCCAGACAAAACTGGGTCTTTGTTGGAAGAAATTGAAGAAATCGATTGAACATTTTCCTCTTCTGTCTCCTCCTCCCCTCCCCCCCTCTTTCTCTCGGCAGAGCGACAGGCTTCTGATCAAAGGCGGGAGGATCGTGAACGATGACCAGTCCTTCCATGCCGATATCTACATGGAGGATGGCCTCATTAAGTAAGTCCTCCACTGCCCTCATTTCTACTCTGCTCTATCCCCATTTGTTCTCTTTCCTCAGCTCAGACAAATCATCCATTTACTGTCTTTTAGTCAAGTTGTTTCTCATATGTTCCAACTCCATCATATTAAACAGCATCGCTCTTATGAGAATACAGATGGCTGCTGCAGCTATTAGAGAAATATAATTCTTCTTGACATGTACAATATGTTGCAGCTTGTTTAATCCATCTAATGGATTGTCCAGATGAGTTTGTGTAAATGTCAGGGGGAAATTCAACTTTCTTATTGTCAGATTTTATTTCCGTTTTGACATGCAATCACTGTTTAGGAGGTTTGGGACATGTGTGATATCATCAGCGACAAGGGGCACGAGCTTCCCCCCTGCTTTGTCAGTGTAACACACATAATCTCATCTGTGACAGAAAGTAAATGCAGAGAGTAGTTTTCCTGGAAATATCTGGTTCTGAAATACATAGATTGTATAAAAAGATGGATGAAATGTCTCCACTTCCTCCCATTATCCAGAAATCAGATCATAAATAATACACTGCTGCCTTGCACATTTGTAGCCAGAGTCTGTGCAGTAGCTTTCAGATAAATATCAGAGGTTGCAGGTTAAGTCTCATTTTGACCGATAGTCTCGAATCCACGAGGGTCGTGAGGTGGCTGGAGCCAATCCCTGCTCTTATTGGATGAATGACAGACAGGTCACCAGTCCTCACTGGGCTGACAACAACATTCACCTCAGATTCACATCTACAGGAGTCTCCAGTTAACCTAACCTGCATCTTTGGACTGAAACCAGAATACCCATAGAAATGGAGCGAACATTGAAACTCTGAACCGAGACACAGTGTCCACTGTCCCACCATGTACCAACAACAAAGTGGTAGTTATAGTTATAGTCAATAGTGATAACAGCCACACTGGACCCAAATTCTGTCTCTGCCAGAAGAGGCCGATTCCCTCTCTCCTGAATCAGTCTGTCCTCACCCCCTTTCTCCCTGCCCTCCCCCCGTACTGTTCCCACTCGATTCTCCAATTATAAACCCTTTGTCCCCGCTGCCCCTCAGCCGGGCAGCTCAGAGAGAGAGGCGCCCACTGAAAGTCTGGTGTTGCATAATAAACACCCAGATTGGCCTGCCCCTGTGTCTGGACTGTCTCCTCTATAAACTCTGAACAACAGCAGGTTTTTTCTAGTTGTTCTTTATCACCGCTGAAATGTTGATGTGTTGACACGGTGACAATGTGCTGCTTCAAGGTTGGCTGACTTTGTTTTGGGATCATTTTAAAATCTGTTTTTGCTTTAGAAACTCCTATTGGCAAATGTTGGCTTGGACCAGCAGTAAAAATCAATGTTAATGGTTATTTATGTCAAAATTTTAAATCAATCAACATAATTTGATTATCATTGCATAATAAAAGTAGCAACAAAACCGGTGTGAACGTATCATCACAAGATTCTGACAACATCCTCTGCCCTCAACAGGCAGATCGGAGACAACCTGATCGTGCCCGGTGGCGTGAAGACCATCGAGGCCCAGGGCAAGATGGTGATCCCGGGTGGCATTGACATCCACACCCACTTCCAGATGCCGTACCGCGGAACCACAACCGTGGATGACTTCGCTCAGGGATCGAAGGCCGCTCTTGCTGGGGGCACGACCATGATCGGTGAGGTTCTGCAGTGAAGGGGCATCCACACACACAGTTTGAGTCACCAGAGGGGTGGGTGTGGGGGCAGGGAGGGTAGAAAGGGACCCCAACAGAGGAAAAAGGGAATGGGAAGTCTGTGTTTGGGCAGCTCTCCAAAAGAGGAGCATACAAAAGACTAAGTGTAAGGGGGACAGCATTGGGGAGGGGGGAGCATGGAGTGAAACACTAATCCCATAGAGTAGAGCACCAGTGTGCACGGTCACGCACGTCTGCGTACAGTGTGAGTTTGTGCATGTGCACAGACGCTATCACAGCCAACAGCTGGTATATACCACAGTCACATTAGCAGCATTAACTTCTTTGGAGCTGCCTGCTCCTCTGTTGCTTATCTGCCACTGTGGTTCTGTGCTCGTGCAGACACAGTCAGTAACAGGCGCGCTGCTGTAGTCGGCTCCATTCATGGTCTTCCTCCAGCGCCAGATGATGTTGTGTCTGCGCGATGGTGCACAAAGAAATGAAAAAAACACTGGCTCATATGGTTGCCATGGTAAACAACAATGCTTTGTTTCATGGCTGCCATTCTCCAGCTCTATCCTATTAACATGCAATGACTAGATAAGAGGATCGGGTCGTCTTTAATGAGATAAAGAAGCCAGTCAGGTGGTGAAGCAGCAGGAGGCTCTACTGTATTACAGCTGAGTAAGATGGAGCCGGATATTCCGTGCACTGTGATACTGTTGTGCATGTGGAGGTTTTACTTTGTGCACGAATCATTTTGAAAGCTGACTTGACTGAAGATTGATCTGACAAACATGCACCAGTGCAAACGTTTATTTTTAACGTTTGCCTCTTAACATGGCAGGATTTTTTTCAAGATCCATAAATGATTGTTTGGAAAATGCCCAAGCTCATAATGATAAAGAAAGATCTGCCCCCTGATCCGGATCCGCACCAAAATGAAATGGGTTCATCCTTCGGTCATGCTGCACCATTCCACAAAATGTCATGGAAATCACTTGAGTTGTTTTGGTGTAATCCTGCTAACATCCTGTGAACTATCAAGCAAACAAACGCAGATGAAAACATAAAGTCCTTGGCGGAGGTCTTAAATTCACGTCAGAACCTTTTTCGAGAGCAAGGTTTGCTTTTGTGGGACGATTCTAACTGAAATTTCATCTTAATGCTTCTGGAAATGTTATGTTTGAACACTTCAGTTAGAGGACGCACAATATCCTGTAACACAAGAACTTTCATACGTTGTGAGATATTCCCGTCACCAAAGCACCTTTACTGCGCTGCTGGTCCCCTTTGTTGTCAATCTGCAATCTATAAAAATGACTATGGTTATGACACAGTTTACAAACTCCATAAAAACATCCATGATTGAAGTGTCCCCAGATAGTTCAAGGACACACACTGAGACAAAGATGTTCAAAATGTAATGTGACATCTGACACTGTCGGTCGCTGCAGGCTGAGCTCTGCAGGAACTCAGACGGACAGCTTGTTATGCAAGATCAACAATAGAGGGAGAGAGTGCGGGAGCACGAGCAGACAAATCCTGACATCACCTTGTCTTCATCTTCCTATGTGTGACTATTCTGACCCCCCTCCTAATTTCTGTCATCTCTCTGTCCGTCAATTCCTTTCACGTCACCTGCCGTCTCCCCTCTTTGTTCCCCTCTCCTAAAAACCCTTCACATGCCCTTGTCCTCCCTCCTCCAGTGGACCACGTGGTCCCGGAGCCCGGCAGCAGCCTGATGGAGGCCTACGACCTGTGGAGGCAGTGGGCCGACGAGAAGGCCTGCTGCGACTACTCCCTCCATGTGGACGTCACCCACTGGAACGACAGCGTGAAGCAGGAGTTAGACAACCTCATCAAGGAGAAAGGTAGGCTGTGGTGGTGGATTGTGTTTAGATTTACAAGTTCCAATTATACGTCTGATTTTATTCAGTAAAACTAATCCTTCCCTTTTATCATTGATTCCCAAAATGTGTACAGGTGTGAACTCGTTCCAGGTCTACATGGCTTACAAGGACTACTACCAGATGACCAACAGCGAGGTACACTTTAACATTTTGTTTGCCAACATGCACAAACAGAGAAGGTGTGGTACAGTGAGTGTGTGGCTGCAAAGTCAACATAGATTATCTTGGTTTCACTTGAGTTTATTATCTAACAAAATCAATACAATGAATCCCGACTGACTGGCTGTGAAACTGGATGGCCGTATTGCATGAGGGTCATAAAGCATTAAAACATGGCAACAGTTTGGCTCCAAGTCCAAAAAAAGAGAGTAAACTATGAGCCACAGTTGGAAATCACCATAAAACACCATTCTGAATTGAATTATAGTTCCAGCTAAGCATGAATCTTTTTCCTTTCTCTCTTGAAACGTCCTCATGAAACCTAAAGCAGATGATGTATTGTGAGTACGTACTGTAACTCTGTGTGGTGCTTGTAAAACACAGAGTGTACGTCCAGACGCTGTGAGGCGGGTTTCTTCATGTTTCTCATGCAGCTGTGGCTAATTCCGTTGGTCAGAGGAGCCCATGAGGCAACTGAAATAGCTTTAAAAAAAACTGATGTCATGCAGCACAACAACAACTGCAGCTCATCCCACGTGACTTTAACCGTCTCTGGAGACCACACACGATAATTGCAGCGTGTTGCGGTGGACAGACATCATGTTAATTATCTTGTTCCTGCGTTTAAAAGAAGGAGTGTCTCATTCTTGTGTAAACATTTGGGCCGGATTATAAATGTTAACTTTAATTTTGCTGTTCCTGTGTTTCTCCACCAGCTCTACGAGGTCTTCACCTTCTTGGCGGAGAGGGGCGGCATCGCTCAGGTCCATGCGGAAAATGGCGAGATCATTGCTGAGGTAGCCAACGGATACGCCTCTTAAACATGTCTCTTCCTTTTCCTCCTCCTCTCTCCACTGCCTCGTTTTCTTTAATCACTTGTCTCGGGTCCAAATCTGCGATATGTTTTGCTTTAGTGTGATTTATTTCAGTTTATTTCATGTCAGTCCACCTGTCTAGCCCCGACCTTATCGCAGCACATCTCTCCAGCAGCAGACTAAACACAACCTCGCTGGTGAGGGGGAGAATGTGTTTTGTGTCGGACAGTAATGTGTGGGTGTAGTTTATACAAGGCTGCACTGTATTGTGGACAAATGAAAGTGAATTAGCCTGAAAAGTTGGTGGATTGAGAGGGTTGGTGTTAGTCAGAGCTCCAGAGCATGTCTGGATTCTGTCACTGTGTGTGTGTGTGTGTGTGTGTGTGTGTGTGTGTGTGTGTGTGTGTGTGTTGGATCAGATTCTTTTCAAAGCCCAGCTGTCTTCTCCAGCCTTGGAGACCGCAGTCTGATTTCCATCAGGTTTAAGATCAAAAATGTCTAAACCCGTAGGTGATGTTCTGACCCGATTTAGCGCCTGAGATAGAGGGGCCTTTGTTTAGACCTGAGTGTGATACAGAGGACATGTTGTAACCAAGTGACAATAACAAAGAGTACCCACTTCTTTGTATTGTCCTTCACACATTTATTTTGTATTCAGCACGTCTCCTACTGAGGTTTGTTGGACGTGTACTCGACCACTCATAGTTGTAAAAGTTTCAACAACCGTCGCTAGAGGCAGACACATTTTCTTTCTTGCCATATATTAATACATTATTCATATTTTTTGAACCTGTATCCAGTCAACTCAAACTTTCACATCAGTGAAAGAATTTCTGTGAGTGATATTGTGTCTTTAATGTCTTTGGACCACAGATTTGTCCAAGGTTTGGCTTCTGGCAGGCACACGTCTAACCACTCAGTGGAAGTAGTAAAAGAAGAACAACGTCATCCTCTATCCAGTCTTGTATAAAGTGCATTTGTTGATTTACTTGATATATTTGTCCGCTTTATGAGAATAAAACCTATAACTTTCCTTAATTGCGCAAAACAAAGTTTTTTGAGGGAAGTACGTTATACTAAAGCTAAGTGTCTCTATAGGGCTCACCTGTGCATTTACTTTCACAAATATTTACAGCCAGAATGTTTGGCCTGATCCACAAAACTGCTGTTAATATCCACCACACAACCAGAGAGATGCAGAAACAATAGGATTTTAGAGTGGGAACAAAAGTAGACTGATCAGCCCGAGCATTCAAACCACTGAAAAAAGCAAAGAGCTCACTTTTTTTTCTGTTTATTCAACAGGAGCAGGCTCGCATGCTGCAGATGGGTATCACTGGACCAGAGGGACATGTGCTGAGCAGGCCGGAAGAGGTACAACACACACACACACACACACACACACACACTGCATATACTGATACAGTGAATACATTAAATGACTTAAAGCATACAGTCAATAAGAGTTTAAACACATCTTTTGGATAAATAGCCTTCGTTTCCATTATAATATTTTGTATTTTGATGTGTTTTAACACCTTGGTTGTTTATACAAATATAAATGTGCTTCCCTTTGGCTACAACTCTTTCAAATGATCTGAACTATCTCAGACTTTTCATACGCACATTTTTCTTGTTACAAACATTTGGTTTCAGGCATGTTTCGAAACACAGTTCCCGCAACTGTTGCCGCAAATGTTCCTTCAACAAAAAGTAAAATGAAAGCCGTGCGCTCCTGTCAGCGACTTGTCTGCCTTTGTCTCGACTGGCATTTTCCACTCGGTGTTGCAGCAGGGTGATGTTGTCCCACCAGTATCGTCGTGTCACGAACTTCGGTGCAGTCTTAAGAATCAAAAGCTTGGAGACATCATTTGATTGAGCAAACGCAAAGTTCGATTGGTGTTTTTATCAATGTCCAGTGCATCAGTGTGTTTACCTACAACTGCAAAAGACTTGACAAATATGGAGTCATAAATTCCACCACTGTGCTCATCCGGGCGGAAAGTTATTCAGATTACACAACATTGTAAATATTTTTCTATGTTAAGCTATAGTGGAGTGATGTCATCTTGAGAAGAGATTGAAGTCCCCTCCCTCTCTGTGTGTCTGTTCTTTATTTCGGTAGCCAGCGTGTTGGAGCATGTGGGTACATGCATGTTAGTGCATGTCAATCCGTCCTGCTTCAATCAGAAACAGAACAAAACAGGTCACCCGGGTGGAAACGACAAGTTTTGCCCCTTTTCCTTTGTGAGTCTCAGAGCGCTGGACTTTTACTATCGCAGGTTATTACAGGAAAGAGTGTGTGTGCAGTACTTAGTCATAATATTATCTCAATAAGTTAATAAAATATTAGATGAAGGCCAGTAGTCTCTCTCTCTTTAACCACCTAAACCTTATGATGTTAAAATTATATGCTTTCACCCATCGTTTGGGATAAAAATGAAATTTTCAAATTACATGGCTTCAACATAATTTCTGGTGGTTGAGCTATTTTAAATTTATTCAAGAATGCATCTATGGGAAACACATTTTATATCCAACCACGTTGTCCCGTCCCTTCTGTAGCTGGAGGCAGAGGCGGTGTTCCGCGCCATCACCATCGCCAGCCAGACCAACTGTCCTCTCTACGTGACCCGGGTCATGAGCAAGAGCGCCGCTGACATCATCTCACAGGCCCGCAAAAAAGGTAAAGATTATCATTATTTATTATATCCAGTGAGCAGTTAATTCATGAAAAAAATCAAGTTCTGGTCTGAAATATCACTGCCTACATACGCAGTGATATGTTTTATGATATTAAACCTTGGGTACATATGTTTTTTTCCCTGATATTTACAGAAAAGTAGTAAATGACTAGTGAATAAGAGCATCACCAACAGCAGATTTAACATTTAATCCTGGACAGATACGATTTTTTAAGTTGTTCCATTTCTGTACCAGCCACTTTCTTTGGTTGAGATTGCAGTGCTGTAGTACATACACTTGTTTGTCACTACAAAAAAATAAAGTGGATTCCATCTTAACATATTGTTTTCATGTATTTCTACTTACAAATTAGTGCATATCTACTACTTGGTCTGGGAGGAAACTACATCAGATCTGAACTGTAGGAATTCAAACTTTTATGCCCATCATCTTTTTGACATAATTCACCTCAGCTCATATGTCTGATAATATGTCAATGTCTCCCTTGATGTACCGATGTGGACAGTTTGCAAACGTCCACAGCTCTTGAATCTGCCTGACGGATGCTTCTCTATTCTCAGATGTATAGTCAGCTTAGTCAGTGTTTTCTGTGATTCAGCTGTCACACAGGGTGCTTCCTCACAGTCCCAGTGAAGAGCACAGGTGAAACAAGAGGCCCCTCTCGCCCTGATGAATTGGGGAAATGTATAGTTTTCGAGAAGGTCCAGGAAAAAGTTTGAAATTTAAGAGTGCTGACGTACAAAGGACTTTTCCGTGATTTAATATCCACCCATCAGGTGCCTTTAGGGGCTTTTACACCTTTGTTTGGATCGTGGAACATTGAGGTGTGAGAGAGAACATGTAGAAGTGTTAGTGACATGAATCAAACGCTGCTTCGTCGTGCAAGGAAATACAGGCTCAGCTCCAAACGAGCCAAAGTGAAATTTGCACATTACCAAGGGTGATGTTTGGCTTTGCGCAGATTAGGCAGAGTTCCTCACCTGCAAACACTCCGCTGAATTACCAAAGCTTTCAACAAGATTAAACTGCCGACAAATGAATCAGCGTCGATGCGTCTTGTGATTTCAAAGGTGCCAAGAATCTCTTAAACAAATCAATTTGATTCACTCAACATTTGATACATATTCAGATTTTTGACATTATTTCTTTTTCCAGGAAATGTTGTGTTTGGGGAGCCAATCACAGCCAGCCTGGGAACTGACGGGACGCATTACTGGAGCAAGAACTGGGCCAAGGCAGCTTCTTTTGTAACGTCCCCCCCTCTCAGCCCCGATCCCACCACTCCAGACTATCTGAACACACTGCTGTCCAGGTACGTTTTACAACCCCCAGTAATGCTGCTCATCTTCTGATTGATTGTTGTATCAGCTGATATTTACTATATGTAGTACTTTATATGTTTGCATGTTGGGCAAAGACAACATTACAAAAGTGAAAGCAGAAACTACGGTGCATGTGGTAACTGCAACTGCCTCACATGTTGATTCCTATCCACAGTACATACTGTTTACAATGTGAACTACACATGTGTCTCAATCTGAAAATAATGAAAACTATCAGTCATGTTTCGGGCCCTCATATATGAAGGTGTGCAATGTGGTGCAGATAAAAATACAGATCTCTTGAATTTAAATGTTGGGATTAGTTCTCTATAATGAAACATATGTTTATATGTTCTGCTGCCTGTACATACAGAGGTCACGTGTGACAGAAGAATTAGAAAATACTTTGCTTTAATAAGAAAAAAACGGACGCTATGATAACTAAGCAGTTGCTACACAATGGGCGGACTGTTAAGTGAGTAGTTTGGAAACAGGAAACATTGGTAACAGTTTGTGCTGGAAGGATAAACTCTGGCACCAGGCGTGCGTTTCAATTATTCCCAGTCCTTGTGCTGTGTTGCTGTGCCTCCAGTAAACAAACATCACCGTTTGCGCACTAATTTGTGCCTCACTTGTGTGATTTCAAAGTAACTCTGTGTTGTCTGTTTCTCTTCGTCTGCCAGCGGTGACCTGAGTGTGACTGGCAGCGCTCACTGTACGTTCAGCGTGGCCCAGAAGGCCATCGGCAAGGATGACTTCACTCAGATCCCAGAGGGTGTCAACGGAGTGGAGGAGCGAATGACCCTCATCTGGGATAAAGCTGTGGTGAGGAGAGCACTCAGAGGCTTTTTTTCCTCTTTCTCTAAGTTTTAAAAACACTGGAAGAAAAGAAGAACAAAAAGCAAACAAACAAGAAGAAGGTCACATCATCTTCCTTGCTTCTCTTTTCCTCTTTAGGCTTTTAGCTGCTGTTGTAAAAATCCACATCTTTTTCATCTCTGCGGTTTATTTGTCTTTAAATAAAGACGCTCTTGTTCTCTCGTCTTTTTACTATGATCCCGTAAGATCAGTATTTTTCCCTCTTCGCTCAGCTATCACTCTCTCTCCCTCCTTCCTCTCTCCTTCCTCTCTTCAGCATTTGGATCCAACACACTGCCGTCTCTTGTTCTCCTTCTTCCCTGTAGTCGTCACTACATTAGTGTACTGCTCACGGACTGGAAGCATGTCGCCTCAGACAGCTGCGGACTGCTGGGCTTTTCAGAAAGTTAAACTAAATCAATTTCCTTTGGGCTGTGCACACACAAAATCTACACTCTCACTGAACTTGGAGTGAATGCCGCCTTTCCAGGGGCTGTTAAGATCTGCTTTTTAAATTTTGCACAGATCCAGGGTATATCCCCATGGATCCATGAGAATGTTATGAATCTGACTTTTTCTCAATTGTTTTTGAATTTAAGTTATGGCAAGAGAATCCAGCTACTGCTACATATCATATATTCATGCTAGAATGGCATTCAGAGAGCGCATACCTTCACCAAGGCCTCTTAACTTCAGATATTCTGCATCACAGTACACACACTCTCGGTATTTGTACACTAAACATTCTGGCTTTTTTTCATCCAGATCTCTTTGTTATTTCTTGAGAAATTCACAGAAATGTTGAAAAACGCCCTATTTCTTAATGATGAAGAAAAAGAAAAACATTCCTTGATCAGGATCTGTTTCAACATCTAATGGGTTTTTCCCTGAAGTTTCGTAGGAATTCGTCCTATGATTGTCGTTTATTCCTTGTGTATAAAATCATAACCTCCTTCGTCGTGGTAATAACTGATCCGTCTGTTTAATTTAGAAGTGAAATTAACATGCATGTAGGGTGAAAGAGTTGCTGCATTTCTTTTTTTTAACTAATACATTCTTTTTCATCCAGACTACGGGTAAGATGGATGAGAACATGTTTGTGGCAGTGACCAGCACCAACGCAGCTAAGATCCTCAACCTGTACCCCCGGAAGGGTCGGATCGCCGTGGGCTCTGACGCCGACCTGGTCATCTGGGACATGGACTCCATCCGCACCATCACTGCCAAGACACACAACTCGGTAAGTACAGCATGCGCAGTTCAGAGTTTGTCTTGGGATTTGTTTCAGTCAAAGTACACCTCTCAGTTTAGCACTACTTCTGTCCTCCTCCTCTTCTTTCACACTTGGAAGTAATTTTACCAAACATTGACGTTCAAATTAGTGAAACTGTAGAAAACTGTGGTTTCACACCTTCTCCATCAGTCATTGACGTTTTACTTTTTACGTGAACGATGTTATTGACACAGTAATCCAGATACCGCTGTCAAAGCAGCTTTTTGCACAAATAAAATGTGACTGACTAAATCATGCGAGCAGGAGGAGATTAAATTCTGTTAAAAGAGGTCTGATTTTCAGGGATGGATTAAAGCAGAATATGTGAAAACTGTAACATCTGTGCATAAAAGACAGAGAGAGAGCGAAAGAGAGCGAGAGAGAGAACATTATTTTTGAGCCTTTTCCAAAAAACCTCACTGTTCCTCTCAACGGAAATTAAGTCTCTGTGGATGTTCACGACTAATCCGACTCACGCTGCACTCGCCACATGACCAGTGTCAAGTTGATCCTCATTAAATACAAAAAAAAAACCTCATGGCAGTAATGATTTGGAAATTATGGATTAATGAAACACGAGTTTATCCAAATATGAGAAAACTCTCTGTCAGTGATGCAAACATTTTCCACAACGCCCTGTACGCTCCGACAAATTAATCGCCAGGGGAATCTATGTGCTGTATAATCAAGAGGTATTTCCTTCCTCTATATCACATTCATTTGCGCTGATCCAAATCCAAAATATTCACATGATTGGAAAAACCATAATGGATTTAAAGAATGTTGTTCACTGCACAGGATTGTGTTACAGTAAATAGAATTATTTCAAATACTTGCGCAGACCCCAGAGATTTGGAACATCTGCACACACTGCCTTTTGGACAACAACTCATTTCATTAGTAGAAAACAGATTTGGGTAGAAGACATTAAAATTCATGCGAAACACGCAATATGAATCTTAAGTGGTAGTGTAGCATAACCAGCAACCCCCTCCTTTGAATTCCACTTTGCTTTTCTCATACATCAAAGCTGGATGACCACTTGATTTCCATATATTCATATTTGGAAAAATCTATTGAGTTGGTTTTATTATAAATAAATGAATCCTCCTGTTTTGTTACTTTATCAATCAGTCAAATGTGTGTTGCATGTGTGTGAAGAGAGACTTAGACGTGCTTGGCCGTGGTCTTGGTGGCCCCTCAACTCTATATGACATTTCTCCCACAAGAGTCTGTGTGTGAGTCAGCAGCTGTGTCTGAGGAGATGGAGGAGAAGAGGATGGGGAACGTCTCTGAAGAGTAGATTTGTAGAGTAGTTTTGTGATAAAGGTGATATTACGTCCAGCAGTAATGTATTTCAACAAACAACAGTATTTAACTCTTTCTGAAATAACACTTAATGATACTTAGTCAGTTGTCATGTGTTCAGAGTTTAAAAAACACAGGAAGCAAAACGAGATGAGAAACGTGAAACTGTGAATTTACACATCTCAGATGTGTTTGGCTTCACTCTGTAGGCCTAAGAAGAAAAAAACACAAAAACACACACACGTACATACACTGTAAGTACACATGGCACATGTGAGTAATGAGGTTTCTACCATTACACCGACATTAGAGATTCCTAAACCCACGAGGCAGGAAATTAAGGTTCAAGCGCATCCTGCTTTTACATAAATACGTGAGTGAGTGAAACGTTTCCTAACAATCTGTGCAGTTTGGCCGTATGAATAATAAGGTAAAGTCATTTTTTTACTTCTCCTTGCTTTAAGGCCTAACCCTTGTTAAGTAGGAGAGAAAGAACATTGCTCCCTCTGCATAAGGAGGAGCGGAAACAGAGAACTAATAATATGCCTTTTCCAAATGTGGAGTACATCCACTGAGGATCCGTGGCTTCTTACTTAATGATGTCACCCTCTCATTTCCTGCTGCTTGTACCTCCAGATAAAATAGCAGAGAGAGAGAGAGAGAGAGAGAGAGAGGGAGGAGAAGACTGGAGCACAGCAGCTCCCAACTCCCATAAATCTACCTTAATGGACGGTCTGATGTGACGCCAAACAGGAGCAGTTTACTCAGGAATGCCTTCTCCTGTTCACTAAATATAACTTAGACTGTGCTGTGTCTTAGTTCGTTATCAGTGGATCCACATCTGGTCTGCAGAGCTTGTTATGCTTAATATAAATGCATGCATGCACATAAGGATATTCTGACACAGACAAAAAAAACAGGCAGCAACGCACTTTTTTTCAAAACACTCGGCTCAGGCATGACATCATGTTTGGCTCGCGCTGACTCGTAGTCATGTCCTGTTCTGGCCTGGATTTGGATGGCAGCAGAAAACAGGGCCGTGTGCAGAGGAAATAAGCAACAATGGAAAGATGGGAGGGGACAGCGAAAGGTTAAAGAAACAATGCAAGAATGCGTGAGGAAGAGAAAGACGGGATGGAAAACAGACAGCAAGAGGGATGAGTGAAACAAGTGGAGAGAGCAGAGGGAGGAGAGGGAGAGAACAAGGGAGAGAAGGACAGTGAGTGAGAGGCAGGTGTTGCTATGTCAATAAGAAACAAGGTGATGAGTGATGAATGGAGCCAAACTTTGTTTCCTCAGGGGGGTTAATCTGTGGAATTTAATTTCCTTTTCAAACCCTGATCTGTGAATTTGAGCATTTTATCATATGACCACATGACAGATAATCTCACTCTGTTGATTCTCATTCTTGTCATTTGTTTAACTTGTGCTTCAGTGTTGAACTGATAAACATGTTCTCATCTCAGAGCCCTGCTACCGCAACCGCTTGTGTTCTGACGTGAAAACCTTTAAAATGTGTTTACTGTATACATATTTTTACAACTTTATATTTATACATCCTACAGATATCATAGATCATTTACAATGAGACATTTTTTGTGTTTTTTCATGGTGTTTGTTCATTTCTACTCTGTTGCCAACAACCTGGTATATAATAATTCTATATTTGTGCTCTAGGCTGCTGAGTACAATGTCTTTGAGGGCATGGAGCTGCGTGGAGCCCCACTAGTGGTGATCTGCCAGGGGAAGATTGTTCTGGAAGATGGGAACCTGCATGTCACCTCTGGCGTCGGCCGCTTCATCCCCTGCGCTGCCTTCCCTGACTTTGCCTACAAGCGAGTTAAGGCCAGGAAGCAGGTAAATCCAGTTTTACTGCTTTCACGTCTGCAAACAAAACTCTGAAACCTTAGATTAACCTTAAACTGCTCCTGACGCCTGTGCCAACAGAGCATGATGATGCACACTACGTATAGAAGGTGCATATAATTTGAACTGTGCAGTTAAATGCTTCGACTGATAGATGAGATTGGAAAAGCCCTATATCTACCATTTACCCTCAGAAGAAATAGAGTCAGTAGGAGAAGTTAGAAGCTGAGTTTTTGGATTTTGAGTAACTCTGGGAGTTTGGGCTTTGATACAAACTACAATGATGTTTCAAAGTGGGTGGGAAAGATGGTGTCAGTAAAATGTAATGTGGGGGAGATACAGTCTGACATCAGCCTCCTGAGTTTAGCCACAGGCTGACGGCTGCAGATTTCCTCCGTAATGTAAAAGGACCATGCAGTGAGGGTGGTCGAGGCTTTGTCATCATGGGTTTTCGAATTTGGATAACTTTCCAAAGAGAGCGACCGCACACAGTAAAAGAGTTACCAAAGTCCACAGTTAAAATGAGCCTAAAGGTTGTTTAGGCAGGTTGCCCTTGTTATAGGAAAGGCAACAAGGTAGACGAGTCTTTCCCGTAACCGAAACATCACGGCAACAGCAACAGCCAATAATATAGAAATAATATTTAAATTGTAATTATAGTTTTTTACCATTCACACACATACACTAGTCTTAGCTAAATATAAAACCAGAACTTGGTTAGCTTAGCTTAGCATAACGACTGGAAACTGGGAGAAAGAGCAGAATCTGTCAAAAAGTAATATGATTGCTAAAGGTAAGAAATCATTGTTCTGGATCTTGTTTGTTTAGAGTTTAGTGTTGAACTGTCTGTTGCTTCATCACAGTGAAGACTAGAAGTTCCTGCTGCTTTCAAATTTAGTGTTCAGACATGAGAAAGACAGACAAAGTGTCTTTTCCAAAGCAAACGGGAGACGACAGTAACAACATGTGAGGAGGAATAACACTGTAAATGTGACATGTACTGTTTTACAAATTACAAACGTAGTATCAGACTGTAACAAATCTAGGTTTAAGTACAGCTGGATGGAATAAATTACATGGCTCTCACAGTAATATTCCTGCAAACCACAAGCAGAGCAGTTGAGCCATTGTTCAATTACTTAACTGGAAACAACAGTCGTAGGTCCTCTAGGGTAATCAGAGTTTATCACAAATATAAGTTTAATCATTTCATTAAAACCAGTGAAATCTCCTCTTTTAACAGTTTAGTCATTTGCAGCCGGCCGCTGATGAGAAAATGGAGCCGTAAGAGCAGTGTGCTGTTTATCTTGGTAGCAGTCACTGTTTTGCACATTCACAGATGTCTCTTTTTAACTCTTCACTTGCTCCAGTCTGTAAAAGAGTTTCCTGTGTTTGTATTTCTGTGTGTCTGTTGTGTTGTGTAAATCTGGAACTGGTTCCCGGCAGGAAAAAAAGGCTTCTCTGAAAAATGCATACATCATTCCGACACAAACAACCATTTAATGCTAAACAGGTGTGGGGGTCGGTTGCATTCAGTGTTTTGTAATGCCAAACGCCATAATGTCATTTCTTTCTTCCTCCTCTCTCTCCACCGTCATCATGTCTCTTCTTCTGGTTTGTCCTGCAGCTGGCGGTCCTGAGGGCGGTGCCCAGGGGAATGTACGATGGCCCGGTGTCTGAATTCTCCATGTCCCGCGGAGGTACCCCCTCTGCCTCGGCGCGCACCTCTCCCACCAAACAGCCCGTCAGAAACCTGCACCACCAATCTGGATTTAGTCTAGCAGGTAACCCTGCACCCTGCGGTGAGCCCAGCTTCTTAATATGACCCCCACCACTTGAACACGCAGTCCTTCCTCATCTGTCGTTGGTTTGAATGGAATAATGCATTCAGCTCCTGTCGAGCTGTGGTTTTCAGAAGCTTAAAAAAACTTCAAGCAACAATTTATCAGTCACTATAAATGATAAGGGAAAAAACCTCTGTCAAATAAAGGTTAGCATTGTTTACCCTTCAAAAATCAGACTTAGTTGCACTCCATGTTTTTCCCCTGGTCATCCCCCATCCCCCAGACGGGCCCGCTCCCTTCATTTGAGAACCACTGCTGTAGAGAAACTTAATAATCTTTCATTATCCTGTCTCAAATGTTATGATGTGCACAGAATGGCATGCATCTGTCTGCAGTGCGTCACGCTCCTGAGTAAAAAGTGGTTGGGTTTACATGACGATTTGTCAGTTTATGCATGTCATTAACTTGGCCAACTTTGGCTTCTTCTGGATTTAATGAGGCTCTAAGCTGACAACATTAAGTCAAATTTATATTCAGGCAGTTACAGTTGGCTTATCTCCTGTTTTTGCTTCATCGCGGTTTAACGTGACGTCAACATTACTCTTAAATTAAAACCGCACAAAGCGTACGTTGATTGTACGTACACATTCAAGTGGAGTGTGCGTTTGTGTGACTCTGTGCTGTGCACAAGACAAAGAGGGATACTATCGCCCTGCTTTCTTTTGTGTATTTTAGAATACTTTTTAATTTGTATTTTGCATGCAATCTTTCTAACTCTGATCAGTGACTCATCTCCTAAGAATGCCTCTGAAATCCTTTTCTTCTCCTGAATCACTCGTAAAATATCTCACACTTCTCAGATAAACCGCTGCAGGCTCGTTGGGACTCTAACCACAGCCTCCTTCACATGTTCAACCAGAGTAGGAAATGAAGTTTTCCCCACAGATGCACTCATTGTAATTCACACGGGATGTGAGTGTTGGCTCGAGGCCCTAAAATGCACAGCGTACCAGATTTCAGACCAGCCACTTGGACACGGTCTGCTAAGAAGGCCTATTTAATTTGAGAGGTCACAACACCACGTATTCACATCCAACATCTGCTCCGTCCTGCCGAGCCGCTGAGCGACAGTTTGATTTTGCCCGTTTGTGAGGTCAGCACTGGATTAGCTGAGATTTAGAAAACAAAAGTGAGAAATTGTTCTTGTCAGGCTACCAAATGTACACACGAGTTACTCACGAAGCAGATAAGTCAGTGTTTCCACAGTTTTATAATCAAACACAGCGACTGTAGCTATTAGCTCATCCTTCCGTCCTCCCCCGGTGGACTAAACGTGTCCATGTGCAACCTTGTGTAACCTGGAGAGACTGCAGCTGTATCCAGCATGATCCTGGAAGTCTCTGTCGAATACATTTAATGGTTGATAACTCATTTGGAGGGGAAAGTCCACAGAATGGTGTTTTGTCCTTTGGCTGTATATGCAACCTATGTTTACAAGCGTGGCTGATGTGTGATACCTCACCGATATAAAAGGAAGGTGACCTCCTCTGGAAAGAATTTCAAGCACAGAATTGACTGTAAAGGGGAGTAAGGCTCCTGGTTTTTCCCAGGAGTTGTAATTGTAAGGCGTGAGTGTGCGTGTGTGCGTGCTTCTCAGACTGAGTCAGTCTCATATCTATTTTAGTTTTTTTTTCCAGGGCCACCACCTGCAGAGTTGATTTACTTGTCTAGAGCAGAGATGTGAAGGACTGTTTGAAGTGTATCACAGCCTGACATCATTCGACTTTCCATTTATACACTCACTGATAATTGGTTGCAGCAGATACGCTGGCTCATCATTTGGAAACAACAATTCTCAATGTCAGACTGTAGATTCTTTTGTCAGTGTTTCAGCAGCATAAAAACTACAAATCAAACAATTATAATGTGTCTTGAAAAAACCTCCACAGCTTGGGAAGTAATAATATGAGCATGTGACAGCAATGTTTTGTGCGACTGTGGCACAAAAGTTGTTTTGTGTAGAGTAAGTCTGAAAGAATTGACAAATGATACCAGCACCAGTTTCCAGGGGAGAGCACAAGGAGATAATCGCATCATCAGTAACTCTATAGTCCCACAGGTCTCATTTGTGATTTATTAAATGAGTTTGTGGCCATTTCTGTAGCAAATGTCCCTCCTCTGTCACGGGAAGACTTTGCGTAACCAGACACAACCTTAGTGCATCTTTGTCGAATCCCATTTTAGTAAAACTACAAATACATAAATCGAAAGAGAACATTTTATCAACTGCACTACAAAGTTGAGCATTTAGTACTGTATGGTTATTCCCAAATCTTGGGCAATAAAACAATATCAATAATTAAACACAGTGAGGAGATATAACACATAATTCATTCAGGAGCAAACATCAGTCTTTGAACTTAAAATAAATGATAAGGTGACAGTTATCTTGATCACGTCTGTATCAATATCGACACATTTTCATCTTGATATCATTTTTGGCCTAATCCCTCAGATCATGGATCACTTTCCCTCTCATGATAATCACTTCTTAACAGGATTTTATTGTAGCATGTTTATGAATGTTTGCAGTATATTTTTGCTTGTAACTTCAGTTTATTATCTTTCACTGATTTCTTTTAAACTCACTTTTCTGTTTTGTAGCATTTACATTTTAAATCCAGAAGCTACAGTTTTTTTTTTTACAGTTTTCATTTCTCCGCGGACGAACACGAGTTCGTGCTCTCCTCCCCTCCTTCTTCGTTAAGTGTCCTTTCCTCTGTTTCTCTCATAACTTATGTTAATTTCCTTTCCTTTTCTCTCTGTCCTAGGTCCCCCCACCCCAGACGACATCCCCATCAGGCCTGCAGGCCGGCGTATTGTAGTGCCCCCTGGTGGTCGTTCCAACATCACATCTCTCAGTTAAACGGCAGGAAGACGAGGGGATGCATCCAGAAAACGGCAGCAGCCAGTGCAGGATGGAGGGAGGAGGAGATGCAGAGGACCACGATTAGTTAAAAAGTTAAAAGAGCGAAACACTGAATCCTCATGCCTTACCTGTCATAATGCTACCTGGCTCAGATGAGAACAGTATCTCTTTTCCTGGGGAATTTGGCCTGGAATCGTTACTACCAAAGCACAATACACATAAACCAACCTCACGTCATTTCTTCTTATTAGAGAGTACACGACCTATACAGTGAAAACATGTCAATTCAGTGCTTTGGTAATTTGGAATTTAAACCAGTACAACTACATAACAATCACATTCAACCAAGACTCACTGTTCTCGAAGGAAAATAGATACCGCTTTTCTCAGAATGATGCTATGGTTCTTTCATCCTGTTTGGCTTTCAACGTCACCCCCTTTTTCATTCGCCCGCTTTCTCCATAGTAAGCGAAACATAACACTAGATCCCACATTAGTCACGTATTATCACGCAGTACCGTTGGTTAGCTCTAGGTGGCATTGTATAAACACTAGATGTGATGTAGCTTTGTGACAATGTTTTTGCAGCCAGTTTGGGTTTAATGGACCAAGTCAAAAGTGGCGTTTATTAAAATCCTAGAGCAGGAGCGCCGTGGGACATGGAGCTGCATGGGCCACATGAACATGGGCGACCTGATCCATGATCCTTCCGCCCCCCCTCCTCTGAGATGCTTGATAACAACCCCCCCCCCCCCCTTGATGTTTTGATTACATGATTTTAAGGCAAAAGTCAGGAAGGGATTTACTTTTCCTCATCCCCCATTTCTTGCACCCCGTCATGGCTGTTTGAATAACAACATTGTGAGAATCCGTCCTTTGCATTTGCTTCTAGCTTATTGCCTGCTTCTGTCATCCTGAAATCATCTCGAGAAAAACAACAGAGGGAACAAAAGATTAAAAGAAAAAGAAAAAGAAAACCTGAACAACAAGTACGAATAAACTCAACCAAATTAAAGGCAACTACTTAAATAAACCAGATGCAATGAAATGATGAAGTATCAGAAACCTGCTTTCAGTTAACTGCACTTCCCCTCTGGCTTTTCTTTTTCATTCCAAACTGGGCTCTCGTTACACGACAAGAGACACACCATCGTTCCCTTGTCACCCCAGCGTATAGCCCTGTAATGTATTCCTGACCAATACGAATTCAACATCAGCCTGAATATGACCTGAAACACTCTGGATGTGATGGTGTCAGGGTGGGGGGGGCCCTCAGAGCTCTGTTTTTGTGTCTCTGCTGTTTTCTGACAAGGCAGAGGATTGTAGTGCAGTAAGGAAAACATGTATTTTTGGGAGGGAGGGAAGGTGATTTTTATTCGGCAGTAGTGTGGCGGACCGATGCAGGCACCAGTGGTGGTTTGTGAGTATTTATGTTAGTTTGACAACCTTATTGTTTTTATGTTGGTTCTTTTTTTTTTTTTTTTTTTTTTTTTTATCAAAACCCAGAGATGGCAGGTCAAAATAAGGTGTGTTGTGGATGGTATGATTTGTTTCCTGAATAAACATGAGTTGCAACTGACTGAGACCTATTTTATTGTGTTATTACTCAACTGCAGATCATGAGACATGCACCAAAGGTTGGCTTTAAGGTAGAGATTCATATGAACAGTCTCTAAATGAATCAAATTGTTCTCTATATGGACAGAACCACAGGCAACATTTTATCAAGAGTAGAAGTAGGACTGTTTTTACAATATTTTGTAGGATGATCATCCCAGATGGCCTGTTTCACTGATTAACTGCATAAAATTGAAGAGAAAGGCTGTATCAGATTGAATTTGTGTGATTTTGGTATTATTGACACATGTATCATTGTATTCCTTACACCATGTTAACAGATCTTTAGGTCTATAACTTCTATAAATGTGCATTAAAATGTACATTACATTTCTAATAAATTAGTCAAAAAAAAAAAGACTTAACAGGAAGATAAATAGTTTGTCTTTCAGGCAAACAAACCTTCCTATGATTATACAATACATGGCTCTGGTGTTGGACGGGGTTTCAAAGCTCAAGAGTAGATTCTGGGCATAATGTTGATTTCTCTTTACCTTAACCTGAATCTAACCTGAATCCTGCGTATTTAATTGAAAGTTGTACAACTGAGTTGTTATTCTATAAGTGAAGCTATTATTAAGTAATATTTCCTTTCTGTGATATGAGTAATCTTTACGACTGTTCCTGTACACTGTCAGACTGAGTATATTTGTCATATGAGGGAATAACGTATATAAAACT